GGACACACCTGGGGACATGGGGACAGCGGGAAATGGAGCGTTAATTGGGGTTAATTGGGGTAAAATTGAGTTAATTTGGGTTAATTTGGGTTAATGTGCGTTAATTTGTGTTATTTAGGGTTAGTTGGTGTTAATTGGCATTCATTTGGGTTACTTTGGGTTAATTTGGGGTTAATTTGGGTTAACTGGCATTAATTTGGGTTACTTTGGGTTAATTTGGGGTTAATTGGGGTTATTTTGCATTAATTTGTGTTAATTGACATTAATTTGGGTTAATTCGAGTAAAATTTTGTTAATTTGGGTTAATTTGGGGTTAATTTGGGGTTAATTTGGGTTATTTTGCATTAATTTGTGTTAATTGACATTAATATGGGTTAATTCGAGTAAAATTTTGTTAATTTGGGTTAATTTGGGGTTAATTTGGGTTAATTTGGGGTCAATTACCGTTAATTTGGGTTAATTGGCATTAATTTGGGTTACTTTGGGTTAATTTGGGTTATTTTGCATTAATTTGTGTTAATTGACATTAATTTGGGTTAATTCGAGTAAAATTTTGTTAATTTGGGTTAATTTGGGTTAATTTGGGGTCAATTACCGTTAATTGGGGTTAATTGGCATTAATTTGGGTTACTTTGGGTTAATTTGGGTTATTTTGCATTAATTTGTGTTAATTGACATTAATTTGGGTTAATTCGAGTAAAATTTTGTTAATTTGGGTTAATTTGGGGTTAATTTGGGGTTAATTACCATTAATTGGGGTTAATTGGCATTAATTTGGGGTTAATTTGGGTTATTTTGCATTAATTTGTGTTAATTGACATTAATTTGGGTTAATTCGAGTAAAATTTTGTTAATTTGGGTTAATTTGGGGTTAATTTGGGGTTAATTACCATTAATTGGGGTTAATTGGCATTAATTTGGGGTTAATTTGGGTTATTTTGCATTAATTTGTGTTAATTGACATTAATTTGGGTTAATTCGAGTAAAATTTTGTTAATTTGGGTTAATTTGGGTTAATTTGGGGTCAATTACCGTTAATTGGGGTTAATTGGCATTAATTTGGGTTACTTTGGGTTAATTTGGGGTTAATTGGGGTTATTTTGCATTAATTTGTGTTAATTGACATTAATTTGGGTTAATTCGAGTAAAATTTTGTTAATTTGGGTTAATTTGGGGTTAATTTGGGTTAATTTGGGGTCAATTACCGTTAATTGGGGTTAATTGGCATTAATTTGGGTTACTTTGGGTTAATTTGGGGTTAATTGGGGTTATTTTGCATTAATTTGTGTTAATTGACATTAATTTGGGTTAATTCGAGTAAAATTTTGTTAATTTGGGTTAATTTGGGTTAATTTGGGGTCAATTACCGTTAATTGGGGTTAATTGGCATTAATTTGGGTTACTTTGGGTTAATTTGGGGTTAATTGGGGTTATTTTGCATTAATTTGTGTTAATTGACATTAATTTGGGTTAATTCGAGTAAAATTTTGTTAATTTGGGTTAATTTGGGTTAATTTGGGGTCAATTACCGTTAATTGGGGTTAATTGGCATTAATTTGGGTTACTTTGGGTTAATTTGGGGTTAATTGGGGTTATTTTGCATTAATTTGTGTTAATTGACATTAATTTGGGTTAATTCGAGTAAAATTTTGTTAATTTGGGTTAATTTGGGGTTAATTTGGGGTTAATT